TAAACCTTTGACTTTTTGTAACTTTTTGAAGTATTAAAATCATTCATCATGATCTTTACATTTGCGATATCTCAATGATTTCAATTTGTTGTGCAGCCCTATTAATTAGGGACTATTCGTACCCATCCCACGTAGCACTACATGAGAATCTATTCATACACAGGTAAATTAAGAAACAGATGGAGGGTACTATATGTAAGGAAACGTCTTAGGTGCTCTAACCATCACTATCAGCAGCTATTTCGAGGGGGATGGGAGTTTGCTAGTCTGAGGTCCACTTGTTTTCTGTGGAAGGTATCCAATCACAGAGGCATATCCTATTGCCGTGGCCATTGCACTAGACCTGGGTGGCTACTCTAATAGCGTTTCTCCACCAAACTGAGGCTCAGGAACAAATGCAAAATGGAAAATGTATAATTTGCCAAGGTGAGTCATATCGTTAGGAGAAAAGTGCTGTATCAAAGCAGTGAACTCTTTCATGCTGTTGGATGAAACCGTTTTAACGCTGTCTAACCTGACCTCTTTAGGCTCTATCTGGTTGTAGACTTTGTGCCTAACAGGCTTTTAGAATTATCGTCACACTGTACAAGATAATCCCAAAGAATCCTTGACCGAATTCTATAACAGCTTGTGTGATAACATGTTCTCTGGCAGATTATACGCTATATAGCCAAACGTGTTTGGACAGCTGACCATCAGCTTGTTGAACATCCCATTCCAGAGTTAGTCCCCCTTTTGCTGTTATAATAACCTCCACTCTTCTGGGAAGGCTTCTTTCATCTAAATTTTGGAGCATGGCTATGGGAATTGCCCAATCAGTTATTAGAGCATTAGGAACTGATGTCAGTTGAGGAGGCCTGGGGCGTAGTCAGCATTCCAGTTCATCCCAAAAAGCGTTCAGTGGGGTTGAGGTCAGGGCTCTGTGCAGACCGCTTGAGTTTTTCTACACCAATGTTGACACACCAGCATCAACATACATATATAACAACAATCAAGATGTGATCGAAGTGTAGACTTTCAGCTTTATTTTAAGAGGTTCCACAAAAATATGGCATTTGCCATTTAGGAATTACAGCCATTTTAAGCAAAGTACCTCCATTTTCAGGGGCTCAGAGGTATTTGGACAAAGTGACATAATTGTAAATATAACCATAATTTTAATACTTGGATGAAAATCCTTTGCAGTCAATGACTGCCTGAAGTCTGGAGCCCATGTTCTCAAAACTCAAATTCTGAGTTTCCTCCCTGGAGATGCTTTGCCAGGCCTTCACTGCAGCCACCTTC